TAATTGATGCATTAGGGGTCTCCCTGAAAAAATATGAACTAATAATATGTTTTATGTACCATGTGATCCATGGTACCAGACATCAATGAAATCCATATGGAAATAGATTGCATTCATAGAGCTTTGAAAATGGATTCTTTCGAGTTAAAGAGGCTTCTTTCGAGTTAAAGAGGCAGTGATGCAATATGCTAAAGAACATCCGGATCTGGAAATTGATGGCTACAAGCTTCAAATCTTGACGGACATTTCCCTAGCAACAATCCAAAAAGAAGTGCCTTCAAACCTTTGCTATCCCCTGTGGTTCAAAGGGACATCCGCTATAGATGGAATTATCCTTTCTGCTTGAAATTCACCTGTAATGGCAAATCCTATTCCTTTTTAGGAAAAAATCTTGCTGCAATTTATTTCCCTTAGCCCTTCGTCCTGAAGCCAATCCAAAGTTGCTGGCCCACCTTCTTCACTTTCACCCCTATGGTCTCCTGCTCCAGGAAGAAATCTACTGCTTCACGCCAGGTTACCTGAAATCTACTTGTTTAATGCTAGTTTTTTGGGGGGGTTTGTGGTGGCCTCTCAGTGGTCCCATCACGGGCCATTGGCTACTGCATATGTTTTAAGAACTGTTTTAGATGTGCCTTACACCATAGCAGTTTTTGTTCTTTGTTTTTTCAATGGTTTTGGAATAATAGACATTTTCCATTTTTTTTGCAATATGTTTATTGTTCCTGTGGCCTTAGGAGCCTTTATGTGTATATGCTTTCATATGTGTTCCATAGTGCTGGGAAGAGTCTATGCACTCTCCCACTCCGAAAGACTGTTCCCATTGCTTGGATTCGGTGGAGACTCTTCCGTTCCCTGACCTTGTGTCTGGGTTAATTGTTTGCTTTATCCTGTTATGTTCTGTATTATCTTTATGACACTTTGATGCTAGGCACTCTTTGGCCTCAGCATCTCCTGTTTTCCTTTTCTCTTTCCACTTATATTCTTAACTTTTTATACTATCCCTTTTCGAGAGTTATCCTGGGACTCCTGGGAAGATTTTGGATACCCGATTCTCCGCATCGCTGGGTGAGTCTGAATGTCTATAGCGTGTATTGATTGATTCCCATGTCTAAATCACAGTACTACTGTCCTACTGCTTTCCCATAATGTTCAGGGATTGAGCTCCCCTATTAAGCATATTCAAGTGTTGTCATATTATAGGTCCCTATTTTAGTTCTTCAAGAAACCCATTTTGCCCCTTCTTTTACACCTAGATATATCCAAAAGGACTTTCCGGTATGTTTTTTTGCGAATGCCTCTGAAAAAAAGCGAGGGGTGGCACTCTGTCTTTCCAGACGACTCTCATTCACTGAAAACACACTGAAGTGACTAGGGACAAGGAAGGGCGATCTCTTTTGGTCAAGGGTCATTTTGGGGGGGAACCTGGTCACTTTTTGGTTTATTTTACCCCTAATACAAACCGAGTAGCCTTTTTACATTCCCTATTTCAATCCTTGTCCTCTGAATTTGAGGGGCCATTATATTAGCTATGGATTCAAACCTAGCTTTGGACCATACGTTATACAAATCTCATGCTATTAAACTTAAATCTTCTTCTAAACAAAGTCACAAATTTGTGCAACTACTGTATTATTATGATTTAGTTGATGTTTGGAGAGAGGCTAATCCCACCTCTAGAGGCTATTCTCATTTCTTTAGGGCTCATAGCCACTATTCTTGCATTGGCGATGTTTTCCTCCTTCGGGATTGCTACCTAAACTGTGCTCAGCTGAAATAGCATCTACGCCCTGGTCAGATTGTGAGATGGGAAAAACAGCTCTCATTGTTTGAATACTGCTTGTGTGGAGTAAATTAAATGTTTTGACTGACATTCTGCAGTTTAACCACAAGATGTCACTGTTTTTCTAACACAGCCTCAGACTGCATAGATATTTCTATATTTTATGAAGAGGTGGAGTTTTTCACACAGAGTGAGAGCAGCCATGTTTTTGGAGCATGGTGAATAAGGGGCCCTGTAAGCTGAGAATCTGGTGACATCCAGGTGTGAAAGCATTCCTCCGTAACCAGAGCTGCAGCTAAGTGAAGCTGATGAGATTGCTGCCAGGAAGCTGATGAGATTGCTGCCAGGAATGCTGATGAGAGCAGAGGAACTAAGCAACATATACGGCGAGACCGCATGCTTGTTGGAGAGACATTTTTTCTGTTCAGAGTCACCAGCGGATGCAAAGCAGACCCGGGTCGGTAAGATCATGCATGCACCTCATTTCAGTGTTGGCGCCTAGAGAGTCCAGGCCTATAGTTAGTTAGGGTCTCTGTTTGTGTCAGGCCACAAGTGTTATTACTGATCATTGGAAGGACTCCATAACTTAAAGTGACATTTCACATTGGAAAGCTGATAAAATCCTACAAACTCAAGCCAGACTGGCATTTTGCTCAGAAAGAATACTCAGGCACGTGCTACAGGACCAGTTATGGAAGAGGGAATACTGTAGATTGTTGTGCTGCACCGCAGGCTAGCCCATACCATACACCCATACACTGATTCCTGCTCTTTTAGGGTAATAACTGGTAAGGTGTGGCAGCTTATTTGTGCTCGCCAGTAGGTAAATTACTTCACTTTCTACCTTCATCCATCAGAAGGTGCCGTGCTGTGCAGCACAAGGGTCTCAGCCTTTGGGGTGGGTGTATGCAAATTTATTGTATGTTTCCAGCATTTGTGGTTGTGTTTATTTGCCACATCTAAATAAAATTCTGTTGTGGCAAAAGCTGGTGTTGGGGTTGCTTTTTCTCGTTCGTGACTTCACTGTATCCTGGGGAGCCCACCCCAGTACACGGCTTACAACTTGGCATAGTCGGCAGGATACAGCGACCGTTATGGACAGGAATGCGGCGGGAGATCTTCCCCCGGCGCCAATGGCACCGGTCCAGGACCCAGCTCAGGGTGCGCCAAGTTGCCCCAACACCGCTGATACAGCTTGCCCCCCGCCCTGCCCGTACTAGTAGGGTACATTCCCGTGGGGGCGCTGTTGAGTCACCGGCCAAAATTTGACGGTAAAAATATCAAGTTGCAGGACTGGTCTGAAAGAATGCAAAGTGCAGTTAGAATGTATAACCTGACGTCCGAGCTGCGGGCCGAGGTTACATTGGGGGCTCTAGAGGGTGACTTCAGACGGATAGTAATGGTAAGGCCCGAATCTGAGAAAGACACCCTAAGCCCAAGGAGGGCATGCTAAAGTAGTGCAGCTGCGGAGCCACTTCTTCAACCGACCACAGCAAGAGGGAGAGACCCTGATGCAGTACTCCAATGCCCTACAGGAGACGCTAAATTAAATACAGCGGCGAGATCCAGAGGCCATGGGATCTTTTCGGGAGGTGGACCGGCTATTACGAGACCAGTTCATAGTGGGGCTCTCCAACAAGTTCTTACAGGACAAATTGCAAGAGATGACCCGGACGGGGCTCAACATGACATTCTACAGCATCTACTTAGCCGCCGTGGAGAGAGAGGAAGAGTACATACCCGTGGCGGCGAGAATAGTGAGTAGTACTCATGCTACAAGAGGTCAGTCTGCATCTGAAGACTCAGAATCCTTAAAGGATGTGGTCCAGGCTCTGCGGACAGAATTAAGAGAACTTCGGCTGGAAGTGTCCCAGATGAAGGCAGAATCTCCCCGGTCTCCGGAAATGACCTCATCAGCTCGCACCACTCCACTCAGGATAACTCAGCTGTGGGGGCACGTCAAAAGGGGACCCCTCTGTTGGGCTTGTCGACAGTACGGCCATATGGCCAGAGAGTGCCCAGAACAGATGAAGTCCGAGCCGATGTTAAACTTCCAACCGCCACAGTAGCTGGGCGTCTTGCGGCGGTACACCAGAAGCTAAGCCCTAAGCATGAGGAACACGACCTGTATGCCAGCAGCCCCATTATGGAAGCCGAGTTGGAAGGCCAGAAGGTACGCTACCTAGTTGATACAGGTTCGGAGTACACCCTTATGCCTCTGGAGTTTTTCGAAAGACACTTTGGACATATGATGGAGCTGGAAGACGGGAGCGTCATCAAGCTGATGGCTGCCAATAACAGAGAGATGGACATTCGAGGAATAGTCTGGATGTGGGTCCGGCTGTGTGGGCAAGACATCGGCAAGAATGGGGTCATGCTGGTGGATCATTCGTCCCAGAGAGGGATGGACATGACACTAGGTATGAACGTGCTGAGGGACCTAGACCACCAACTTTATGCCAAAGAATGGCCGAGGTATTGGCAATGGGCCACCACACACTGGCCAACCCAGAAGGTTCTACAGCAGATGGTGAGGAGCTGTAGTCTGCGAAAGGGTGACATATCCGGTCGACCCATTGGACACGTGAGGGTGCCGCGGAGGACCCCGGTGAAGATCCCAACTTGACAAGAGGGAATATTGATGCTGCTGGTTGGGGCTGGACGACAACTGAATGGACTGGAGGTCCTGATCGAGCACGCTTACCAAGAAGAAACGCAGACTCATCCACTGGTAGCCCAGGCCCTCGCTATTGTGAAGGATGGATGTGTGCCTGTGCGCTGCCCCAACCTTGAAGACTGAGTTAACCGTCCCTGGGAATACTTGCTGGCCGAAGTTTGTGTCCGAAGGGGATGTTCCTCGACGGAGGAGCTTCACGCTATCGCCAAATAGGAGATCAGCCTGGACCTATGCTGTAGAGGTCCATCAAAGGGAGACCCCGAGAGCAGAGTGGAGCGGTCGAGTGATCATGGACCGGATGGGGGTGAACTGAAAGATCCTGACTCCAAGACAACAGAAGTAGCTGGAAGACACCCTGCGGGAATTTCAGGAGGCCTTCTCGAGACATGATGAGGACTTCGGGTGTGCCTCCTTTCCCCAGAGGTTATGCTGCTCCATGTGCTGGCATCCATCTTAGGTTTCTGCAAAGCATGGAGGGAGCCTTTTATGCTTTCAGGTCTCTGCGGTCCATCCCCCAGAGGGGCGTGGTTGATCATATTTAAGCCTGTTGTCTGCACTTGCTCTTTGCATTCGTGTCCTGTATGTTCCTTGCAGCAAGCTCTGTTCTCATTGCTCTCCTGGTAACCGACTCGGCTTGGACAAGACTATTCTCTGCTGTAACCCTTTACCTGACCTCCAGTTGCTGAACCCAGCCCGTGACCTGAGTATGCTCCGTTGTTATAGACCCGGCCTGTCTGACCACGCTACACACATTTTCCCATCTAGCTCCCACCAGCTGTACGCCATTGGTGGCTGTCGTTACCGCAGCTGGGGTTATTCGGGGGCCGCGACCTGGTCTCAGGCTGCGTCAAGTCCATCCCCACCATCAGGGGCCCTGGTGAAGGGCAGCCTGGGGCTTAGACTCCGCGCCCTGAGGGACTCTGGTCTGTGGGTAGTAGCTGTCGTCAGTCGCTGCGTGACCTTACCATAGGCCTGCCTGCCCATTCCATCGCTCCTGCCCTGACATTACACGAATGCATTGAATCCTGACGGTGCAGGTACACCTTCGCTTCCCATGTTAGTCGCCAGACTTGATCAACAGGATCTCCTGTTGGATCAGTTCACTCAGGTGTTGCAGACTCTGCTTGAACGCACCACCCACCTTGCTCCTGGTGCGATTAGCCCGGTTGTCACTCCGGTGGTCGCTCCTGCCACTGCTGCAGTTGTTGCGCCTACTGCCGCAGCTGCTGCTGCACCCCGCGGTGCCCAGAGGTATGACCGGTTCAGCCCCGCTTCCACAGCGCTTTGGGCATTTATTTTGAGTTAATAACCCACGCTTTTTCTACTGAGAGGTCAAAGGTGGGCTTCCTAATCTCGCTGCTCTCAGACAAGGCCTTGGCCTGCGCAAATACCTTATGGGAGAACAATAACCCAGTGATTCACGAGTTTTCTGGTTTTGTTGATGCCTTCCGTAGGGTATTCGCCTCGGCTGCCAAGCTGCTCATGTCCATGCATCAGGGTTCACGGACCGTTGCCGAGTACGCCATAGAGTTTCGTACCCTGGCGGCAGAGGTGGGCTGGAACAATGAGGCTCTGGTGGCTGCTTTTTCTCATGGCCTTTCAAATGCGTTGGAGGACGAGATTGCAGCCAAGGAACTGCCTGTGGAGCTGGAGGCACTAATTTCCTTCCTAATCCTGATTGACACCAGGCTCAGGGAGAGGCCTTCACTCAAGGAGCGCCTGCGGAGGTCTCCCAACCGACTGGCGCCTGCGTTTTCTGTCCCATACATTCCTCCCTCTCCTCCCACGCCTCCTGGGATGGCTTGTCTGGTGGTGAGCCCATGCAGCTGAGGTTTGCTCGCCTTTCCGAGGGGGAGCGGGCTGCTCAGCGTTGGGAGGGTTGCTGCCTGTACTGTGGCCTCCGTGGGCACTTTCGGCAGTCCTGTCCGGTCCGTCCGGGAAACGCTCGCACCTGAGATCCTGTCGGGGACAGATGGGGTGGAGTTTCCTCGTCCCTGGTGCCCCGCAAAGATAAACCACTGATCACTGTTGTCCTCTCTTGGGCGGAGGGGTCGGTGACGGCCCAGGTGTTGGTAGACTGGTGCCGGCGGGCTGTTTATGGACAGCTCGTTTGCTGCCCAGTACTCCATTCCCCTGAAGGCTCGAGTTACCCCATTGGTTCTCGAGGCGATAGATGGCAGGCCCCTGCAACCGCCGCAGGTTACCCACGAGACCCTGCTGGTTGAAGTAGCTATTGGGGCTGTTCACAGGGAGTTGGTCTGTTTCCAGGTAATTTCTTCCCCGCACTATTCCATGGTTTTGGGGTATCCCTGGCTCCAGAAGCACAATCTTTAATTGGCGAACGGCCGAGATTCTCTCGTGGTCTCCACAGTGTGGGGCGGGTGCATCCGTGGGACCTGGACGTGTTTGACAAGGTGCGTGCTGGTGCCATACCTCCCCATCGTCCTCACGACTGCGCCATACCCTTTTAACCCGGTGCCACTCCTCCAGGTGGCAGGGTGTATCCTCTTTCAGTTGCAGAGAATCAGGCCATGGAAGAGTACGTTGCGGATGCGCTTTCCCTGGGGCACATTCGTAAGTCCACTTCCCCAGCAGGACCGGGCTTTTTCTTCCTAAAGAAGAAGGGCGGTGAATTGAGACCTTGCATCGATTATAGGGGTCTCAATCGAATCACCAGTAAGAATGCCTACCCAATTCCGTTGATTACCGAGTTGTTCGACCGCCTCAAGAGAGCTTTACTTTACTAACGGTCTTTACTAAACTTGACCTTAGGGCGGCGTACAACTTCGTATGGATCAAGCAGGGGGACGAGTGGAAGACCGCGTTTAACACCAGAACTGTGAATCCCTGGTGATGCCCTTCGGGTTATATAACGCGCCCGCAGTCTTTCAGGAGTTCATAAATGATGTATTTCGTGACCTGTTGCAGCAGTGCGTGGTTTACTTGGATGACATCCTGGTTTACTCTGTCTCCATGGAATCTCATATCCAGGATGCTGCAATGGTTACGTGAGAACAAACTTTTTTGTAAGCTCGAGAAGTGTGAATTCCACCGATCCCAGGTTGCCTTTTTGGGCTACATCATTTCCGCGGTGGGATTTTCCATGGACCCTCAGAAGGTTGCGGCGGTTCTGCAGTGGCCTCGTCCCAATGGATTTTGGCCCATTCAGCGCTTTTTGGGTTTCGCCAACTATTATTGGAAGTTCATCAGGAACTTCTCCACGCTGGCCAAGCCTCTCTCAGATCTAACCAAGAAGGGCAGTAATCCTCACGACTGGCCATCCGAGGCCATAGTAGCTTTCGAGGCCCTGAAATCCACCTTCGCTTCGGCTCAGATACTGTCTCATCCCAATCCTGGGTTGCCTTTGTCCTCGAGGTTGATGCATCTGAGACGGGAGTAGGCACTCTCCTGTCTCAGCGTCGGTCGCCCGATGGACCCCTACTTCCTGTGTGGGTTCTACTCCAGGAAGCTTTCCTCTGCAACTACCAGATTGGAGACAGGGAGTTGTTGGCCATCATTCAGGCTCTCAAGGAATGGAGGCACCTGCTCGAGGGCTCCGCGGTTCCGGTCCTCATTCTTACCGATCACAAGAACCTGACGTATCTCTCGGAGGCCAAGAGATTGACGCCCCATCAGGCCAGATGGGCCTTGTTCTTGTCGCGTTTCAACTATGTGGTTTCCTATTTGCCTGGCTCCAAGAATGTCAGGGCTGATGCATTGTCGCAGCAATACTCTGAGTTGTCCAGGGAGAACTCTGAGCCAACCTCGGTCATACCTCCGGATCAGATCCTGGCTGCCATTCGCACTAGTCTGACTTCTCCCCTTGGGGAACAGATTTTGGCGGCTCAAACTGACGCTCCTCCCGAGAGAGACCGGATGGTAGATGTTTCGTACCTGAGGGATTGCGCACCCACCTACTGCGTACCTACCATAACTCCAAGACTGCCGGCCATCCGGGGAGGAACCAGTTGTCCTGGGTCGTCTCTCGTTTATTCTGGTGGCCATCTCTCCGTTCCGACATCGCCTCTTATGTAGCGGCGTGTTCGGTCTGTGCCCAGAATAAATCTCCTCAGCATCTTCCACTGGGCCTTCTGCAACCCATTCCCAATGGGGAGCGTCCCTGGTCACACTGTCAGAGCTCCAGGGTAGGACCAGAGGTATGTGAACTGACGCAGGGAAACGCAGGCTTAAGATATGTTATAAACAATATAATTTATTAACACTAACAATACATAAACGCAATGCAAACGAACCAAACCAAACCACCCACAGATAACAATACATACAATGCAAGCGCCGTCAGGCAGGCCGCCGGGTCAATAACAATCGGGCAGGTAGGAACAGGAGGAGCAGGCAGAGAGTAGTCAGGTCACGAGCCGGGTACAGCAACTAACGGGCAGGTAGGTACAGGGGGTCAGGCAGAGAATGGTCGGGGTCACAAGCCAGGGATCAAACAGGAGAAGTCAGCAGAGGTCCGGATCAGGCAGGGTCAGCAACGAATCAGTCAGACAGGAACAGGGATGCAGGTAACAAGATACAGGGGCCCATAGAAAAACACACACCAAGGCACAGACTGCAGGTCTGGCCATCCCTTAAATACACCTGTGATCAGCCTCAGGTGTTTTGTCTGAGCAGGGTTGAGTCTCTGATTGCTGAGAGCACCCGCTGGCCAGCCCTGGTACTGCAGCCCACAAGGCAGGTGAGACCCACCATTACTGGCAAGTCCATTCCTGACAGTACCCCCCCTCAAGGAGCGGCCTCAGGACGCTCCAAACAGTCCTAGCTGGGCAAAATGTTCCACCCCACCGCCCCGGGTCTGGTAACTGGCGGGATATCAAAGATTGGCACATCGGGCTGGGCTCCGGGCAGAGGCTCTCGGGCAGAGGCTCATCGGGCTGGGCTCCGGGCAGAGGCTCATCGGGCTGGGCTCCGGGCAGAGGCTCATCGGGCTGGGCTCCGGGCAGAGGCTCATCGGGCTGGGCTCCGGGCAGAGGCTCATCGGGCTGGGCTCCGGGCAGAGGCTCATCGGGCTGGGCTCCGGGCAGAGGCTCATCGGGCTGGGCTCCGGGCAGAGGCTCATCGGGCTGGGCTCCGGGCAGAGGCTCATCGGGCTGGGCTCCGGGCAGAGGCTCATCGGGCTGGGCTCCGGGCAGAGGCTCATCGGGCTGGGCTCCGGGCAGAGGCTCATCGGGCTGGGCTCCGGGCAGAGGCTCATCGGGCTGGGCTCCGGGCAGAGGCTCATCGGGCTGGCTCTCGGGCAGGCGCACATCATCGGGCTGGACTCCGGGCAGGCGCACATCATCGGGCTGGACTCCGGGCAGGCGCACATCATCGGGCTGGACTCCGGGCAGGCGCACATCATCGGGCTGGACTCCGGGCAGGCGCACATCATCGGGCTGGACTCCGGGCAGGCGCACATCATCGGGCTGGACTCCGGGCAGGCGCACATCATCGGGCTGGACTCCGGGCAGGCGCACATCATCGGGCTGGACTCCGGGCAGGCGCACATCATCGGGCTGGACTCCGGGCAGGCGCACATCATCGGGCTGGACTCCGGGCAGGCGCACATCATCGGGCTGGACTCCGGGCAGGCGCACATCATCGGGCTGGACTCCGGGCAGGCGCGCACATCATCGGGCTGGACTCCGGGGCTGGACTCCGGGCAGGCGCACATCGGGCTGGACTCCGGGCAGGCGCACATCGGGCTGGACTCCGGGCAGGCGCACATCGGGCTGGACTCCGGGCAGGCGCACATCGGGCTGGACTCCGGGCAGACGCACATCGGGCTGGACTCCGGGCAGAGGCACATCGGGCTGGACTCGGGCAGAGGCACATCGGGCTGGACTCCGGGCAGAGGCACATCGGGCTGGACTCCGGGCAGAGGCACATCGGGCTGGACTCCGGGCAGAGGCACATCGGGCTGGACTCCGGGCAGAGGCACATCGGGCTGGACTCCGGGCAGAGGCACATCGGGCTGGACTCCGGGCAGAGGCACATCGGGCTGGACTCCGGGCAGAGGCACATCGGGCTGGACTCCGGGCAGAGGCACATCGGGCTGGACTCCGGGCAGAGGCACATCGGGCTGGACTCCGGGCAGAGGCACATCGGGCTGGACTCCGGGCAGAGGCACATCGGGCTGGACTCCGGGCAGAGGCACATCGGGCTGGACTCCGGGCAGAGGCACAGGGCCCCCAGGAGGAGCAGCAGGCACAGGGCCCCCAGGCGGAGCGGCAGGCGCAGGGCCCCCAGGCGGAGCGGCGGGCGCAGGGCCCCCAGGAGGAGCGGCGGGCGCAGGGCCCCCAGGAGGAGCGGCGGGCGCAGGGCCCCCAGGAGGAGCAGCGGGCACAGGGCCCCCAGGAGGAGCGGTGGGCGCCCAGGAGGGGCGTCGGGCACTGGGTCCCCAGGCGGAGCGGCGGGCACCGGGTCATCAGGCACGACAGCGGGCATCGGGTCACCAGGTCATTTGGCTCGCCAGTGGGCACCGCGTCATCTGGCAAGGCAGTGGGCACCGAGTCACCAGGCACGACAGTGGGTTCTGAGTCAACTGGCATGACCGCGGGCACTGGGTCAGACATTGGATCGTCTGGCTCGACAGCGGGCATCAGGCCACCAGGCATCAGGTCATTTGGCTCGACAGCGGGCACCGCGTCATCTGGCAAGGCAGTGGGCACCGAGTCACCAGGCACGACAGTGGGCTCTGAGTCAATTGGCACGATAGCGGGCACCGGATCATCAGGTACCGGATCATCTGGCTCGACAGCAGGCACCGGGTCATCTGGCGCTGGATCGTCTGGCTCGACAGCGGGCATCGGGTCACCAGGCATGACAGCGGGCACTGGGTCATCAGGCATTGGATCGTCTGGCTCGACAACGGGCATCGGGTCACCAGGTATGACAGTGGGCACTGGGTCATCAGGTGTGATAGGATCATCAGGCTGGATCAGTTCATCAGGCTGGGTACAGACATCAGGCAGGGTAGAGACATCAGGCTGAAGTGCGGGTGCCGAGGCACCAGGCTGAACCACAGAAGGCAGGTTCTCAGACGGCAGGCTCACCGGTTTGGATACTGGCAGGATGGTACTGGTTGGAAAGAATTTTCGCTTTTTTCTGGTTTTAACTACTGGAGCACTGCAAGTAAACTCAGGTGTGCAAACGAATGGAGCAGCTGAGGACAGAGGAGAGCTGGAGGATGGAACAGAGGAGGGAGCAGTTGCTACAGAGGACTTCTTTACAGGGTTAAAGAAAGGATAGGTGCAGCGAGTGGGACAGAGGACTGATATGTGGTAGTTAGCGGAGTATACTGGGCAGTCACTGGGGGGTGCTGTCGGGGATGCAGGAAGAGTGCCTTGAGCGGAGGAATGATGTACAACATCTGACTGAGGCTGGGTGCAACAAGTCTGACCATGTCTGCAGTATGGATTGAACAAAGCTCAGCTTACACAAAGCCTGTCTGGTCAAAGACTGCACTGCGTTTATACAATCCCTTAATACCTGTGGTGAACATGCAGCATAATGCTCCAAGAAGCAATCCACATCATCCTCTAATAACCATACCAGGGACTCTACCTGGTCTGCACTAAATGGTGGCAAAAAGTCATTCCTGCTTTCGGGGGTACCAGATGAAGCCAACTCTACACAAACCTGAATCAAAGGTTGCACCTCAGAGAACTCTGTGCCCTGATCTATTAGAACATGAGCAATCCGTATACATTCTAGCAGTTGATCCCAGGTATACTCCCTCAGAGTCTGATAAGCATATTCTCTGTCATCAAAAACCAGCAGCGACAAATACACAACCTCATCAATATCCATCCTTCCCAGCAACAAGCCAAGATGGCTTCCCTGTGCAGCCACTTCTGGTCAGGATTGGCCTTGGTGTAATGTCAGAGCTCCAGGGTAGGACCAGAGGTATGTGAACTGACGCAGGGAAACACAGGCTTCAGATATGTTATAAACAATATAATTTAATAACACTAATACATAAACGCAGTGCAATACTAAAACATAACACAGTGCAAACGAACCAAACCAAACCACCCACAGATAACAATACATACAATGCAAGCGTCGTCAGGCAAGCCGGGTCAATAACAATCGGGCAGGTAGGAACAGGAGGAGCAGGCAGAGAGTAGTCAGGTCACGAGCCGGGTACAGCAACTAACGGGCAGGTAGGTACAGGGGGTCAGGCAGAGAATGGTCGGGGTCACAAGCCAGGGATCAAACAGGAGAAGTCAGCAGAGGTCCGGATCAGGCAGGGTCAGCAACGAATCAGTCAGACAGGAACAGGAACAGGGATCCAGGTAACAAGATACAGGGGCCCATAGAAAAACACACACCAAGGCACAGACTGCAGGTCTGGCCATCCCTTAAATACACCTGTGATCAGCCTCCGGTGTTTTGGCTGACTGCAGGGTTGAGTCTCTGATTGCTGAGAGCACCCGCTGGCCAGTCCTGGTACTGCAGCCCACAAGGCAGGTGAGTCCCACCATTACTGGCAAGTCAATTCCTGACACACACCTTGGCATGGATTTTATTGTAGACCTCCCTGTGTCTCGGGGCCATACGGTCATTCTCATGGTCATTGATCGTTTTTCCAAAATGTGCTATTGTGTTCCGCTCAAGAAATTACCAACTGCGCAAGAACTGGCCACGGTTTTTGCCAGGGAGATTTTTCGCCTGCATGGGCTGCCCAGGGTGATTGTCTCGGATCGTGGGAGTCAGTTCGTGTCCAGGTTCTGGCGCGCCTTCTGCTCCCAGTTGGGTATCAGGCTCTCCTTCTCTTCGGCCTACCAACCACAGTCCAATGGGGCTGCGGAGCGTTCCAACCAGGCCCTGGAACAATTCCTTCGCTGCTATGTCTCGGACCATCAGGACGATTGGGCCGATCTCCTGCCATGGGCAGAATTTGCCAGGAACTTGGCTGTCAACTCCTCCTCCGGGATGTCTCCCTTCATGGCCAACTATGGGTTCCAACCTGCGGTATTGCCTGAGAGGTTCTCACCACAGGACATTCCGGCTGTGGATACCCATCTTGCTGCCCTGCGTTCTTCATGGGGGCAGATCCAGAAGTCCTTGAAGGACTCAGCACAGCGCCAGAAGTTCCAGGCTGATCGCAGACGGCTGCCCGCTCCTTCATACCAGGTCGGAGATCGGGTGTGGTTGTCTATCCGCAACCTCAATCTTCGGGCGGGTGCCCGCACCCAAACTGGCACCCCGTTTTGTTGGTCCTTTTTGCATCCTCCGCAAGGTGAATCCGGTTGCCTATGCCCTTGCCCTTCCTCCTGGGATGTGTATCTCTAATGTCTTCCATGTATCCCTGTTGAAGCCTCTGGTCTGTAATCGATTCACTACCTCTCTGCCTCGGCCCCGTCCCATCCGGGTTGATGGTCATGAGGAATATGAGGTGAGCCGGATTCTGGACTCCCGATTGGTGCGCGGTTGGGTGCAGTTCCTGGTTCATTGGCGCGGTTATGGTCCCGAGGAGCGTTCCTGGGTTCCTTCCGCGGATGTTCATGCTCCTGCCCTCCTCCGCGCTTTTCATGCCTGCTTTCCTCAGAAGCCTTTTGTTGAGCCACGGAGGGGGAGGGGCCCTTGAGGAGGAGGTACTGTCAAGGTCCTACCTTTCCCCAGAGGTTATGCTGCTCCATGTGCTGGCATCCATCTTAGGTTTCTGCAAAGCATGGTGGGAGCCTTTTATGCTTTCAGGTCTCTGCGGTCCATCCCCCAGAGGGGCGTGGTTGATCACATTTAAGCCTGTTGTCTGCACTTGCTCTTTGCATTTGTGTCCTGTATGTTCCCTTGCAGCAAGCTCTTGTTTTGTTCTCATTGCTCTCCTGGTAACCGACTCAGCTTGGACAAGACTATTCTCTGCTGTAACCCTTTTCCTGACCTCCCATTGCTGAACCCGGCCTGTGACCTCAGTATTCTTTGCCTACCGTCTTGTACTGTCTGCTCCGTTGTTATAGACCCGGCCTGTGACTACGCTACACGGTTTCCCATCTAGCTCCCACCAGCTGTACACCATTGGCGTCAGTCGTTACCGCAGCTGGGGTTATTCGGGGGGCCGCGACCTGGTCTCAGGCTGGGTCAAGTCCATCCCCACTATCAGGGGCCCTGGTGAAGGGCGGCCTGGGGCTTAGACTCCGCATCCTGAGGGACTCTGGCCTGCGGGTAGTGGCTGTCGTCAGTCGCTGCGTGACCTTACCATAGGCCTGCCTGCCCATTCCATCGCTCCTGCCCTGACAGATATGGTGGCCAGCATGTTGGAAAACCAGGTGATCCAGGAAAGTCAAAGTCCTTGGGCTGCTCCAGTAGTCTTGGTGCAGAAGAAAGATGGGAGTCTCCATTTCTGCATGGATTATCGGAAGCTGAATGCCCAGACCGTCCGGGATGCATACTCCCTTCCACGGAGTCGTTGTCCGTCCTGAGTCATGCGAAGTTCTTCTCGACTCTTGACCTGGCCAGTGGGTACTGGCAGGTACCGATGGCCAAGAAGGACAAAGCGAAGACAGCCTTCATCCTACCTATGGGTCTCTACGTGTTCAACCGGATGCCATTCGGCCTGTCCAATGCCCTGGGAACATTCCAGCGGTTGATGGAGCACTGTCTGGGAGATCTCAACATCGAGTTGGTATTGATATACCTGGACGACGTAGTAGTGTTTGGGGCCTCTTTTAAGGATCACCTCCAGAAACTGCGACAGGTCTTAGGACGGCTGCGAGACCATGGGCTCAAAATCAAGCCCAAGAAGTGCCAACTGTTCCGACAGCAGATAGAGTATTTGGGACATTTGGTAAAGCCATCCCCCGACAAGGTGGAGGCTGTCCAGAAGTGGCCCCAGCCGAGTACACTACAAGAGGTGTGGGCGTTCATTGGACTGGCCGGCTACTACAGGAGGGTTTATACCCAAGTTTGCTCATTTGGTGGGCACGTTAAACGAGTTATTAAGGGGCACTGCAGGGGGCCCGAAGAATCGTCCCATCGAGTGGGGACCCCGGCAACAAGGGGCCTTTGAAGCAGTGAAGGGGGCGCTGATTAGTGCCCCGATTCTGGCTTATGCGCGGTTCGACACCCCATTCCTGCTGTACACTGACGGAAGTCTACATGGTCTGGGGGCTGTGTTATCCCAAGTCCAGGATGGACGGCAGCCGGGCTCTGAGGGAGTCAGAGTGCAACCCTGACAACTATAGCTCCTTTAAATTGGAACTACTGGCACTGGAGTGGGCCATGACCGCAAAGTTAGCGGAGTACCTGACCGGTGCAGAGGTGACCGTGATGATGGACAACAACCAGTTAGCACATCTGGAAAATGCCAAACTCAGTGTGTTTGAGCAGAGGTGGTTGGCTTGCCTTTCTAAGTACCAATACAGCATCAAGTTCCGGTCAGGTAGGGAGAACGGCAATGCTGACGCACTCTCCCGAGTCCCTGTAGGGTTGTCGGCTCAGAGTGCCGATGAGAAGCTAGAGAACACTGAAACTCCTGACCTTGGTCGATTACCCATGTTCCAGGACGTGGCACATTCAAGTGGGGTGGCGTCCGGGATGTCAATGGTGATGGGAAAGACGTTGGCTGATTGGGAGAGGGTCCAGGATAGCTGCCAGGACCTGTTAAAAGTGAAAGAATGGGTCAGGACCAAGATCTGGCCTCGGTCAGAAGAGCGGGCTCGTCTGACTCCCGAGGGCCAAAAGTTGTTGAGGCAGTGGGATAAGCTAACTGTTACCCAGGGCCTCCTGTGTCGGACCATTAACTTGCAGTCAGAGTTGCAGTACCGGCGACAGATTGTCATCCCCATGTCATTGGGAGGCCGCCCGGGAAGCCCATGAGAGGGGTGCCCATTTTGGGAGCGATAAAACGTTCAAGTGGCTCGTGTACTGTCCAGATTTGGCAGACATGGTGGCCGAGGCATGTCTTAAGTGTCGGCCCTTCGGGCTGAGTAAGAGTACTGAACAGTGGGCTCCTGTCCAGGCCATCCGGACATCAGCACCCCTAGAGCTCCTTATGATCGATTATGTACAGATTGGGTATTCTACCTCGGGACACTCGTACTGTCTAGTCATGACAGATCATTTCACAAAGTATGCGGTGGCTGTACCCACCAGAGACCAGACGGCAGAGTCGGCCACTGAAGCGGTCTGCAAACACTTTATACAGGTGTTCGGGTGTCCACAGAGAATACATTCGGACCAGGGGGCATGTTCTCAGGGTACGCTAATGAATGAGTTGTACCAACTGTATGGGATCGAACGTTCCCGCACCACCCCGTATCACCCCCAGGGAAACTGGTCATGCGA